GTCGGCACATACCTGCTGCCGACCTCTGCAGAAGAGGTTCCCTCACCTCCCAGACTCACCCCACAGTACAACAGAAGCTTCTCCCACTTGTCTGGGCATTAAGAGTTTCCCTTTTCTGTACTTCAGCCTTGCTCCCTTACACTAATGTGCCTTTAACAGTGCTTCTATACTTTTTTTGGGCTCTCCTTTTGGTAAGCATTGATGTGAGATAAAATACAATAAATCCACACCACCTAAGTTGCTACTATACATTTCAGTGTATTCTCTTTTTTCTTCCTCTCTGCAGCAAAGCATCTACCTGGACCTTCCCTGCTCTCCATTCCTGAGCGCACTTCCTTACCTGAATTAACTGCTGAATTACACTCAGTAAATGTTAACCGATAACACAACGACAAAGAGAGTAATTTCTAAATTGCTGGTGGTTTCAAATCCCTCAAGTCTCAGGCTGTTCCTGTAAAGCACCAGACCTGAGCACCGTGGTGCTCAAGTCAAACCAGCAAAGGACACTGAGCAGTGCTAGCAGAGGTGTCGAAGCAGGCAATGCCTGCAGCACAGCGCAGTCACCGGCCCCTTTCCTGTGAGCTGTTCACTTCTGGCTGTGCAGGGATCCTCTCTGCACAGTCAAAACACGTCAGTCCCAACAGCAACGGGAGCCCCGGACACAGCAGCCCTTTCCTGCTGTCACTAGTAGGGACTGTCACCTCCTCAGCTCCTGGACAGCTGACTGTCCTGCAGCAGCATTTTCCCCTCTGTCTTGCCAGCCTTATTAAAGCCATCATTTCTTTGTGCTGTGGACCTGACAGAACTGGGCCTTCTGACCTCAAGCCTTCACCTGCCCTATGGCTGAGTGTACAAACTACGGGGTAATTACAGCCTCCTGTGTGTTGTGCTGTACAACAGACGTCTGGTTTGCAGCAAGGCGACTCACACACAGCTCTAAGCCCACTTAATACAACTGCACTTGCAACTGGGCTTTTAACTCACACCAGCAAATGGTGTAAATCCAGAATATTAAAAGCACAAACGTGCTGTTGAATACAGTAAGAGGCAAATTAAAGTCAGAGCAACACCAAGTTCTAGGAAGGCAGCCAGTAAGAACAGAAAAGGAAGTAAAAGCACTGCATCCTTCAGGCTCATTTGTCATGAGAGGTGATGAAGTTTAGGCCTATAGGAGAGCCAGGGATCAAAGCTGTGAGAAGACTTTCCTTGAGGAAGATACCTGCAATGAAGGTCTTCCTCCATCACAGTTTGCCCTCCACTCAGCACAAAAGTTTAACAGCCTAAATCTAAATGCTTTAAAGAATGCTTTAACAAGTACAGGCTGGGCAGAGAATGGATCCTGAGCAGAAGGACTTGAGCATGTTGGTTGATGAGCAGCTCAACATGACCTGGCAATGTGTGCTTACAGCCCAGAAAGCCAACCATGTCCTGGGCTGCACCCAAAGCAGTGTCACCAGCAGGTCAAGGGAGGGGATTCCAAGCTTCTGCTCTGTTCTCCCCACCTGCATCCAGCTCTGGGACTACCCAGCATAAGAAAAATGTGGATTTGTTGGAGTGAGTCCAGAGGAGGACACAAAGTTGACCAGAGCAGCTGGAGCACCTCTGCTATGGAGACAGGCTGAGAGTTGAGGGTGTTCAGCCTGGAGAAGAGAAGGTTTTGAGGAGACCTTGGAACACCTTCCGGTACCTAAAGGGACTGCAAGAGAGCTGGGGAGAGACTTTTTACAGGGGTGTGGAGTAATAGGACAAGGGAAAATGGCTTTAAATTGACAGAGGGCAGGTTTAGATTAGATAATAGGATGAAATTGTTCCCTGTGAGGGTGGTGAGGCCCTGGCACAGGTTGCCCCATCCCTGGAAATGTTCAAGGCTAAGTTGGACGAGGCTTGGAGAAACCTGGTCCTGTGGAATGTGTTGGAACAAAATGATCATTAAGGTCCCTTCCCACCCCCACCATTTTACAATTCTATGAAGTTCCATCCATAAAGCTGTTTTTGCAAAAAGAATTTTCCCGCAGAAGAAAAGGCAACCTACACTGTAAAAATCAGTAAGTGATCTCATTTAGCACTGGTATCGTGGACAAAGCAAAAGGTCCAGCTACATTCAGCTGCAAGTGTTGTCCTCGCAGGGATAACAGGGTTGCTCAATCTCCCTTGAGCTTCTGTACCATGACCAGTGTGACAGCTCAGGCAGACCATGTCAGGATGTATGGTTAGAACTGGCTGGAACATATCAAAGGGGAAAATTTCACCCTCATAAAATATAGTTTAGATAGAAACATATTGTTTTGCAGGAATACAGCGGTGCTGGTCATGTTTTCACCAGGCAATTGTCAATGTGTAGCTTGACTGTCTCTTACTGCTTTAGGAACACAGAATCATTTTGTTTATACAAATCAAATGAAGTCTTTCTACGCTTGTGAACGGAATTTTGGCAGAATTTTTGCATTACAGAAGTTTTCTATTCTGCTTTGTGTTAGCAGGACACTGCTAATGGACTCTTTCCCAGGTCACCACTTAACTGCAATTACTGTGGTTAGAAGGTTAATCAATAAACTCTCCTAGGGTCTTCCAGCAGCAGCAATTCTGAGAACTCTGAATTCCTCCCACATGCTGACTGCAAGAAATGACCAAGAAAACTCCTTGGGTTCCTCTTAAATCAGGCAGCTGATAACAGAGACCTAAATACTTTCCTGTCTACTACCTACAATCATTATTTCATTTTCATAATATTGTCAGGTATTTTTATATCTGCCTTTACTAAAAGAACTATTTAACGAGTTGCAACTGCACCAAAGTTGAATATCATGGTGCTTCCCTCAAAGCCTTTGTTTTGGTAGCTGCCAGCAACTTACCACCCTCTGGACAAACGTCTCCCTCCCCTCCCTACTTGCGACATAAGGCAAGGGAGGGCAGTGCCAATTTTCTGGTGTTCCTGGCTCCTTTAGGAAGGATGTGCACTCTCGGCTCACAGGGAGTGCATCCAATATCTCACCATCTACCTTGTTACAGCAGCATTGTTTGTCACACTGAAGCTGAGCAGCCTTCACAGTCTCAAGTTGCTACATTGCTTTAGGGAATTACCTGCTGTTTGGCTTTACATTATTATGTTAAAATTACTGTGAAATGTCAGTTTGCTCATAAAAATCACAAAATGTGATTTTTACTTTTGGTTCCTTTGAAAAATTATTTGATTCCCAGTCATGGATGTGTCCCAGCCACTGCTACCTGCAGGCTCTTCACGAAACCATCCTGACAAGCTCAAGGCTGCTTCCACTTGGTAGCACTGCAGTGGTTTTGTTTCAGCATTGGATGGCTTTGTGTATTTTTATAAATTCTATTCGGGTGGCAAAATTCATAAAAAGAAAATCTGTTTAAGCAGAAACCTACATTATCAGCAATTACGTAGTAAAGAGCTCTTTAGCAGAAGGGAGAAGGCTGGGCTCATGGTTAGTAACCTGGAAGCCCTGGGACGTACCCATCACAACACTGAACTCCAGCAGTTGTGCTAGCAATGCTTTCACATCTGCCAAAGCCAGATGCAAAAAAAACCCCCCTCAATTCTTTGTCAATGAGACTCTGAAAAAGAATTTGGGTTCAGTTACTGTCCCCCAATATTTTGCTTGTGCCAAAGAAAGGGGAATTCTAGGACTTGGATGAGAAGTTGGTTTGGTTTTCTGATTTGTTTGGAGTTTTTTTTTAAATCAAAACTTTTGGTGAAAAGTTGGCTTAGTAGAATAGTGCTCATAAATGCATAACCTTTTGCCATTTTTGCTATCAAGAAGTAGGTAGAAAGGGACAGAAAGGAGAACTCCAGTTTCACAGTTTAGATTTTCAGTGAAAAACCTAAAAACCTCCATTTTCATAGGACAGACACCAGAAGAAGAGGCACTGTTAAAAAGTTATTAACAGCCAGTTTTGTCAGTGGATGCTCAATTACACATAGACAACCACACCAAATAATCTAACAGGTTGAATCTGTATTAGAAGGAATCCTGCATTAAGCCTGAAGAAGGAAGAAAGGAAATGTGCAGCCCCAAAGGACTGACTGCAGATCCAGTTCCCTCCAACTTTGCTGATGAACGTTTAAGACCAAAGAGAGACTTAGTAAAACCAGGGATAAGTCTAATTGGTTTTTAAGCACATGAGCTGGCTAGGCTTTGCCCAGAGGTTGTTAGTGAATAATTTGACCTGCTGAAAGCCAAGAGAGTTTATTGCTTAACCCTGTAACCACAGTAATTGTAATTAAGTGGTAGCCTGAGAGAGTGCGTTAGTGGCATCCTGCTAAGGCAAAGCAGAAACTTAGTGTTTAAAGAGATGATTAACCTTGTCATAACTTTCATCTTGCACTCAGAGTAACAATTTTAACCAGTACTCAAGACATTTTGCCAACTTATGTTGATAATTGGCACAGCACAATTGCTCTGCTGTGCACGTTGTATTGCACTATTGTATCACTTATGCTGTGGAAGCACCCAGAGACTCTGGCCAAGGTAAGACACTGTACAGAGCCACAGGTCTGACAAACACCCAGCCTAAAACCCCCAGAGCAGGAGGTAGGAGTGACTCCCTAGGCCACACAGAACATCTTGAGCAGGTATCCTACATCACACATTGCCTGTTTCCGTCCTGCCCTGCAATGATGAGTCACGGGCTGGCAGGAGGATTCCCATCTTCTGGCTTGTGTTATTGTTTTCTTATAAACAAATCTCTCTTTAGAACACAGTCAACACAGGCAGAGATAACAAACAGCCCTGTACTGTACCTTTGCTTACACACCTTCCTGAAACATTTTGTTTGGTCGCTATGACTATTCAGAATTTGCCACAGAGCATTTCTCAGCTTTGTGACTGCTCCTTCTCAGGACAGGTGCTGGCTTCCACCTGACAAACACAGCTCCTTGCCTGGCCTGGCACCAGGAATTACCACCCCCACCTCCTGTTAGTAGCCAGGAACAAGGAAGAACTGTTTGGTGTAATTTAAGATTAGTGCAGTATACTCACTTTTAGGGGTCAGGAGGTACCAGATAAGCACTCTCCTAACATTAGAAACAAATCCCAGGGTTGCAGGGGTTGGTGAGTTTGGAGAAAAATGTGTCCAGACAGTTCATTGGAGTTTAAAAATTATATGCTCCGGGGTTGCCTCTAGCAACTGGTTGTTTTAGGAGCTGCAGATTTACAGATGGCACTTTGTGTCCCAGCCCTAAAGGGAAAGAACACAAATTACATATGGCTTTGGCCACACAGACCAAATTAAGGTATGACTTAGATACTACTCTACTCCATATGATTCATCAAAAATGATGCAGTTAGTAAATTTGTGTCTTTAACAATGCAAAACTAAAACAAACAAACACACACATCCCAAAACACAGATTATTTATCACGGCTGCATGTGAGGACAGTTCCCCAAGCTAACAAAGCTGCAACACAGGAGAACAAATGGTTTGGCACAGAAACTATTGAAGTGTTCTTGGTGATCATGCCCATTAATTACTATATGCATAAATGTGCTCAGACTCCCAATCCTACACAGGACAGAGATGTGGACTCTCACACTAATCCACAATATTGTGCCCTGGAAGTGTCAATTAGCATGTTTCATAAAAGCTGAATATAAGCAAATAAGAAATCAATTCACTCTGCAATATTTCTGTTTTTTTTTTTTAAAAAAAAGCTAGTAGATCAGCTGGAGTATAAAGAAGTTAATTCAAAAAGAGATGGCGGAAAGAAAAACATAAAAGGATAATCCTTTAAGATTATAAAGGTTTTGTGTAATGCTTGATTTTAATCAATATATGGGACTAGACAAGGATCATCCTCACAAAGGATGACATAAAAGGATTAGTGACTTCCATCCAGCACAAAACTGCACAGAGACACGGTTATTACAGTTTGGAATTATTTCTTCGCCAAATAAGATTTTAAATTTCAAAAGAGATGATAAAGAGGGGTACAAGCAGAAAAGGGCATGGATTTCATTTTTTCTACTATTTTTAAGATGCCAAGTTAAAATGCAAATCAAGAGATTTAATTTAATAATGTTTAGTCCAGAGCCACAGAAAGGGTAAAATCCCATGGAAGTTGCAAGACTGTTTCTTTAGTTGTTCAACATAAATAATTGTTGTTATTATTTTACACACAATTAATTGTGTGTAATCCTTGATTAAGACAATTTCAAATATGTTTTCTTTTCCTTTCAAGTTTGAGTTCTTATGGTCCACTCCTCAAGTTTCCACACAGTTTATGCCAGCTAGATCCTTTAAAATGAAAGCTGAGGTTCATGTTATCTGTAAATGAGACTTGAAGGAAAAAAGGATAAAAATACACCTGCAGCCATGGTATTGTCCAACACACAGGCTGTATAGCAGTGAAGAAGCAACTTAGAAGGTGATCAGAGACAGACAGAAACAAACCAGAAACAAACTCTGCTAGCCCCTTTTTCATCACCCCTTTCCTTCTGTGAAAAGTAAAATACTTTTCTAACTTATTTCTTCGTTATTTTATCTTTAGGCACGGCCACTTCCCCAGACTTTCTTGTGTGCTGTAATCACTTCTCTTGTTCCAGTGTCTCATCTCCACATCTCCTTGCCTCTTTTCAGTACTTTGATCCTCTCCCCTTCATTCTCATTCTTTCTGTTTCCCAGTTTCCACCCTCAGATTCCAGCAGAAGGGTGTAATTTCTCAGTTTCCTGTTCTTCTATTAGTTATGCCACTGGTGAATCACCCTAATTGCAAAGAAAAACACACTCCCCCATCATTTGTGAATTTGGTTTACAAATCTGACTGAGTGATAGGAATAAATATTCCCTCCAATGAATATGTTGGAATTAGCCAGCCACCATGCACAGCACCAAGGCTGCTCACACAGACAGAGCCTATCCGGCAGGAAATCACAGGGTGGATATCCCGGTGTTCTGCTCCACAGTGCCAGTCACAGTTCACAGCCAAATGCAATCTGCTTCTGCAGACAGCTGGGAAAATTGTCTGCTTTTGCTATAAGTGCAGATACAGATCTGCAGATATAGATCTTAACAGATCTGTTGGGTATTTAACAGAATGGCAAACACAGAAAACGAGATGTGCAAGCGAGGGGCTTGGCTAAAAAGAACAGCTTTCTCATACACCGAGTAAACAAAGAGACACATTAGATGATAAATATGGGTGTATGTTAGGCAGAAACTTGTGAAAGTCCCCAGTGAGTTGGAGATGGTGGCACAGGTGGTTAAGATTTCAACTCCAGAGACAGAAGTCCCACATCCCACCGGGCAACCTCCACTCACTCACTGGTAAAATGGGGAAAATCTCATTTGCTGTTCCTTCCAGGGATATTGTTAATTAATTAATTCTTAATTAAGTTTGCAAAATACAAGTATCCTCAATTGAAAGATACTCTAAAAGGGAAATTATTGTTAGGAGGATGAGAACTCCTGCCCGGGGAAAACCTTTGGGTGTATTTTCTCATTAATGCTAATGGAAATTAACAGTTTAACGCAAGCCAAGCTGAAAATAAGATAATTTACATTTGCATCTCAACTATATTCAGTTCATTACTTATTTAGGATCACTGATACATGGGGGAAGGTGAGTGTCAGCACTTCAAGCTACAGTTTTTGAGAGGTCTTATTTGCACAAATACATCCCAGTAAAATCTGTGCAATTGTTATGACAGTCCTTCTTGACCATCCTTGACCTTTCCTACCACACCAGCAGCTCAGAGACTGAATTCCTTGTGCCAGTCTGAGCCCTGTATTTCACAGATCAAGTTATTCTTACCTTTGTTATTTAAATTCCTTTGCCCCCTGCTCAGGGGCAATCCCTGGTTCTCCTACCGCAGCAATCAAACACAACTACACCAAGTAAAGCCAGGAAACCGCCTTTAAACACAAAGGTACTTGTTTCCCCTACACTGAGATGTTGCTTCTGTATGATAAGACCAGGAGCACTGAGAAAACTATGAAGTTTATGGGAACATTGTGCTGAACACAAAGAATAAACCAAGGATCTCAGGAGAAGCCCCCAGAGCTTCCCTTCCACGAATAACACACTTTTAGAGTTACTTAATGAAAACATATGAGAAGGATTAGATCTTCAGCCACTGAGAGGGGCTTTTATTTTTCTTTCTAAAATGCAGTAATTCACAGTGTATTTTTGGTATCTGTAGCATACATTCCATTCTATTTTAATTCCAAAGAATGAAGAGCCAAAATTTTGCAGAATAGGAATCATAAGAATTTAGAGTAATGTGTGCCCTCTTTGCTTAATATCTTCTGGAAGTATTCAAGGGTTAATATCTTCTGCATTTTCAATTATGGTTAATGAAAAAAGCTGCATAAGTCAGAGCAGGATATATATTTTACTAAGGTATAATTCCAGGAAAGTCACATTTTTGTAAGAGTGATTTACCACACCAATTTATGCCTTTACCCTTCATTAATCTGTCTGAAAAAGATGTCATCTGCTTTGATGAATGTGATAATCACAGATTTTGCAGGCTAAGATAGACTGATAATTGCAGAAAGAATTACTTGGTGTTGCCTCACCCAAACACAGAGTCACCTGTTCTTTGCTAAGAAAACACACATCAAGAAAGCTGTGAATAGAACTGGGGGACAGAGACACTGTAAAGCACAAACTTCTTCCATGAACAATCCTCCAGAATCCCTGCACTCCATGCTGGGTGATGGCAGAGCCCAGGTGCTGTGGGTTGGGATGGTGCCATGACCCCAAAGGAACTGGGGTCACTGTTCCTTTGAAAGCACAGAAGAGCTGCAGAAAAATTCCACAGAAGACGTTGATGGGACACAGAGCAGGCTGGAGCACGGGCTCTTCCCCACCTCTCCATAAATCCCCTCTCCAGCACCTGCAGCCTGGGAGAGCATAAAGCCACTGGTCCCCAGGGCTGCAGCCAGCAGAGGCGTTCCTGCGAGCAGCCAGTGCCCAGGTGGACACCTCCACATGACAACTGGCATGGGCTCCTGGTATACCACTGCTGGCATCTGGCCTCCCCCATCACCCTCCTGCAACAGCAAACAGCTGCACAGCTTTAAGCAGAGTGAAATATCATCTGTCATCACGCTGCCCTTCCAGGGCCTGCCCTCTTTCCTGCATTAAATCATGCGCTGCAATTTTGTCCAGATCCTTTTGGGAAACATTTCTGTTTCTAAGCCAGTTCACAAGTTCACTTCCCACACTGGGACGAAGGCTCATATCCTGTGATGACACTGCAGTGAAACAGAACAAATTTTCAAATCCTGATGGCCTTCTCTGTGCCCCAACAGGTGGAAAACACCAGCTGGATGGTGCAAACTTCCATGAAGCCATATTGGCTTCTGCCTCTGTAGTTTGTCTCCTTTCCTTTCTGAGGAGCAACACAAATTTGCAGTATCCAGGTAAGGTTTCCTCCCTCTTGGTTAAACAAGCCAAAGCTCTGTTCACATAACTATTGCTGCTTTCCTGCTTATACCATTCTTCATCAGAAATGTGATTTTATGAATGGCTGTGGTATGGGTAGGAAAATGTACATTCAAACAAATATTACCCACTATCCTAAGTCTGCAGAAGATGCACTTATTCACTATTATGATTTTTAAAGTCATAAAGTCTAGGCATATTATGCCTAGAATTGGTCTCAAGGAAATATTTGGAGACAAGCAGAAATTTACCATTTGAGATTATGGGTGTTAAAAGAGTGTTATTTGTATGAAGCCACTCAGTTTGCACTCCATACCATAAAAAATGAACAAAGAAACACCCAGAGGACGGGCTATGTAAATAAAAGTTTAGCATTGTATACAGGTTTACTTTGCCAAGCTACAGATTCATTTTACATCTTAAATCAACTGTTGTGCTCTCTATTATAGAAACACAACACAACAACCACACCTACTTTATGTAGCCCAAACTCCTCAACTCTCCAAGGCCAAGGATTAGCCAGCTTACTACACACACCCTTGAATCCAGATCACAGGAGCTGATTTGGAGAGATCTCCTTCCTGAATAATCTGATTAACAATTAAGTTGCTGTCAAAAATGTGCTGAAAAAAGAGAACAACAGCCCTTATCCCCAGGAAAGAAAGCCTGGAAGCTTTGGCTTTCTGGTGCAGTTGGTGGGCCAGCCTGGGCACTCCATGGTCAGCAAGAGCTTTCTGTCCTGGCACCTTTTGTCCTGGAGGAACCTTCATCCCTATGGAATTTTG